GGAAATCTGCACCTGGACATACCCGTATCTGGGACAGAGAAGGAAAAGAGGAGACAGGGAAACATCTCAAAGAAAGAGAGGCAGGCAAATAGATGCCAAATTTGCATTTCAAAGCTAGCGAGATCTAACCCGTAGGATATACCAATTTGGTATTTCTGAGCCAGGAAAAAAAGATTTTGTCACATAAGGAATTGCTTCTAAGAAAAACAACACTGTAAGGTATTTGACTTACTGGTTTTATGAATTTGACAAGTACTATCAGATGATAAGTGAAATTCAGGCTCTCTACAGTTTACTTTTTTCTTTCTTTTCTGAATATATGAGCACGCACTTAAGTAACAAATCTAGGTCTGAAACTATGACTATCCCAGCTGTTAAAAAGGTATTTTTAAAATCAATACACGAACGACTGATGAATGGCTATTTCTACAACTACAACCCGGCTGTATCATCATATCGTAAAAGGAATTTAAAGAGTTTGTAGGGAGCAAATGTCCTTGGCGGTACAGAAGCAGGCGAAGGTATTGTAACTCCAGGTCAAAAGAACACCAGAAGTTGCAGATGGGTGAGCAGAAGGGCTGGAAACACGTGGGAGAGACCACAACCCTACACACGCACATCAACATGACCAAGCAGCAACTCTGACCATCAGGGACTCCAAACACCCAGTACAGACAAATCCACGTGATTCTCATCACCCTAAGACAAAAATACCAAGATAAGGATGGTACTGTTTGCTTTTCCTCTGCAATGAGCTGTGGCCATTTCATCAAACAGGTCAGACATCAAGTGGCCACACAAGTACTGGATGTCAAGACCTGGAATCTGCAATGCAGCAGAGCTAGCTGGAGGAAAAGTTGTTACCATCACCCGGAAAAACAAATATTCTTACAAACTATGCAGAATGCACAACTTCCCATTTCCAGCTGTTGCCACAGCATTTTTACTGCTGGTGGGGTTTGTGTTCGGGCTTTTGGCTTTTTCTTCACATTCAGTTACAGATTATTTGCACCTTTGGCCACACGGACCACATGCCTACAAAGATTGACATTTTGCATGAAGTATTACTGTCTCTCACTGGACAAATTCAGGGCTATTTCTACTCAAAGCAGTTACTTTCCACTCTTCTGCCTCCAATTCATTCACTGGAGTCCCCTTAAAAGAGTATTTATTAATTATATTTCCTACAATATTTATTTCTCAGACTTACAATTAGGAAACATAAATAACTGATTGTACTGTCATATGAATCCTGTATTATTCAACTGCTAGGTTGAGAAAAGCCACTTAAAATTGATGGGCTGTTTCCACAGGACACTGCATGACACTGGCTATTAGATCAATTCCCACTTGTCTATTTAAAATTCTTTGAAACTCCAGTGCCTTTACCAAATGACTCTCCTCAGGCTTTACATTAATAAAGGTCTTCTCAGGATATCCTCTCTCTTGATGCAGTTGTTTTGTTTTTATAAGAGTTAGCATTTCCTTTTCTTTTACACATTTTCAAGCATCTTTTAATTTATAATCTCCTGTTATCGAAGTCTACACAAACTCCGTATAGAATCATAGTATTGTCTATGTTTGAAGATGATCTAGTCCAACCATCAACCTACCTGATAAAAACCATCACTAAACCATGTCTCTAAGCTCTATGTCTACCCGCCTTTTAAATACCTCCAGGGATGGTGCCCCAGCCATTTCCCTGGGCAGCCCATTCCAAGGCTTGATAACCCTTTTAGTGAAGAAATTTTTCCTAATGTCCAGTCTGAACCTCCCCTGGCACAACTTGAGGCCATTTCCTCTTGTTCTATCACCTCTGACTTGGGAGAAGAGACCGACCCCCCCTGGCTACACCCTCCTCTCAGGGAGTTGTAGAGAGCAATAAGGTCTCCCCTCAGCCTCCTTTTCTCTAGGCTGAACAACCCCAGATCCATCAGCCTCTCCTCATAACACTTATTCTACAAACCCCTCACCAGCTTCCTGGCCCTCCTCAGGACCCGCTCCAGCACCTCAATTGTCTCTTTTGTGGAAAAGGGGCCTAAAACTGGACACCGCCCTCGAGGTGGGGCCTCACCAGTGCCTGAGCAGAGGGGGACCATCACCTCCCGAGTCCTACTCCCCACACTGTTCCTGACACAGGCCAGGATGCTGGTGGCCTTCTTGGCCACCTGGGCACACTGCTGGCTCATGTTCAGCCCACAGGCCACCAACACCCCCAGGGCCTTTTCTGCCAGGCAGCTCCAGCCACTCTGCCCCCAGCCTGGAGCGCTGCAGGGGGTTGGTGGGACCCAAGGGCAGGACCCAGCACTAGGCCTTGTGGAACCTCATCCCGTGGGCCTGGGCCCATCCATCCAGCCTGTCCAGGCCCCTCTGCAAAGCCTTCCTGCCCTCCAGCAGGGCCACACTCCCACCCAACTTGGGGTCCTCTGCCAACTGACTGAGGGTGCACTCCATCCCCTCCTCCAGAGCACTCAGAAAGATGTTCCAGAGAACCGGCCCCAGTCCCCAGCCCTGGGGGACACCACTGGGGACCGGCCGCCAACTGCATCTCACTCCATTCCCCACCACTCTCTGGGCCCGGCCTCCGGCCACTTTTTAACCCAGTGGAGAGTCCTCCCGTCCAAGCCACGGGCAACCAGTTTCTCCAGGAGGACACTGTGAGACACTGTATCACAGGCCTTGCTAAAGTCCAGGCCAACAACATCCACAGCCTCTCCCTCAGCCACCAAGCAGGTCACTTTGTCACAGAAGGAGATCAGGGTGGTCAAGCAGGACCTGCCCCTCGTGAACCTGTGCTGGCTGGGCCTGATCGCCTGGGCGTCCTTCATGTCAGTGAGCACCTCCCCCAGCTCCCTCAGGACTCTCAGGTGGATCCTGAGATTTCGGGGGCTTCATTCTGCTCCCCATCCCTGTCTGCCAGCCCAGGGCTCTGGGTACTCAGGGAACAACCTACTCTACTACTAAAAACTGAGGAAAAAAAGGCATTAAGTACCTCAACCTTCTCCTCATCCTTTGTCACCGTGTCACCTCCCACATCCAATACAGGATGGAGATTCTCCCAAGTCCTCCTCTTGTTACAGATTTACAGAAATTCTTTCTATTGTTCTTAACATCCAAGGCCAGGTTAAGTTCTAGCTGGGCGCTGGCCTTTCTAATCTTTTCCCTACACAGCCTTACAACATCTTTGTAATCTTCTTGAGTGGCCTACCTATACAGGCCATTGCAATCTTTTTATTCCTTTCTTGCCTTCTATATAAAAATTTATACCAACATATAATCTGCATTTCTACAAAATCTGCAGAATTATTGAAAAATTCATGTTGGAAGATCACCTACTCCAACACCATTATCTCAAAGTACTAGTTAAACCAAAAACATGTGAAGCTCCCACTGTCTACTACATATCAGATGATCAAAATCAGATGCACATTCTTCCAACTTCTGGCTGCCACAGTACTCAAAAGACCAAATGAGAATTTTGCTTTATCTCTCAATATCCTGCATTTCTACAGCACCTTTCGGCAAAAGACAAAATTAGCGGTCCACCCTTTAGCCTGCATGTTTACTGTCTAATACCAGTAACTCTGTCACTAACTCCATTCATCAGTCCAATGCCAACGGCTTGCTTTATATCTAGAAGGTCAATTGTTCTACAGAGTTGAACAGTCTTCAGTTTCAGATCATCAGCCTCAAGCATTTTAACAACCAAAGATAATCCATGTATTTTCAAAATTAATAACGTCACCAGACTAGAAAAGAAGTCAGCACATCACTGAGACTTACACATCACAGGGTTCATACTTACCAGATAGTACTGTGAAATAAATCTTGTGTATTTGATTTTTTGCAGGTGCAATTGACTCATTTGTTACTAAGTTTTTATAGCGAAGTCTATCCTGAAAACAAAATTGTGAAAATACACAGGATTTATAAACGCTGTACAGTCCTGCTTAGCATAAAACCAACGCATCGAAAAAACACCACAAGCAATGAATTCATAGCTACTACTAGGTGAAGATAATAGCCAAGGTGTCAATATGGGTGGTCATGCCCGCATTTAGACCGTTAAAATGAGTTAACCAGACTAGGTGCTCAGCACCTGAACATTCTTACTACACCACATATGTGAGCTGAGCTCTTGAACATCTAGATGTTTCATCAGGATATTTAAAAGTTTAAAGATAACTCAATAGTTTTCAAGAAGGAAAGAATCCCCACCCAAGCCAAGGAAATTATCCGGATGCAAATTAGTAACTCCCCTGTTTCCACAAGAGCATAAAAGCAATACCAGACGAAATACAACTCCGCAAGTCTGTTTTCAGTTGAAGATATAGTAGCACTGTAGCAAATGTCACCTCCTTTTCATTGCCTGCTTCACTGTAGGAAATCAAGTGCTGCCTTGCAGGACCCTTTCAGCTTTTGGAATGCAAATTTCCACTTTTCTGCCAAATTGGCATTACCAATGGTAACACTCTTCTTTACTTACAGGCAAAAGACTAAGTATTTCACCTCATGAAACAATATACAATTACCTAAACTTTGTTGAGCAGATTCCAAGGGAAAGAATACCCTTCTCATCTTAGTCCTTTATAAAAGGTCCTAACATTATTTTAACAGCAGCTCAGAGATCACTGGCAAAACATTGCTATCTTTGCATCTTGAAACGATTTTTGAAACCATTCACAAATATATGTGTACAATACAAGCACAAACTGCTTAGCGTTACACTCTGTTCCAACTCTCTTGCAGTTTAAAGTGTTGAAACATCACGACACACACATCAATCCTGGATTGTTCATAGCCTGTTTCTGTAAGCAACAAAATTCACCGTTTCAGCAATTGCTCCTATTTGTTCATAGTATTTTTTCCTAAAGTTGCTGAAATATATGCTTCCATCCACCTATGCTCCAGAAAAAACTGTAGCCACAAATAAATGAGCCATCACTGGATAGATAGAAGAATTTCCAATTACACAGAAAAGAAGGAAACCAGCAACCGGCTTATATAACATACTCAGTTCATTTACTTAGATAAACGTAACTGAAATGTGATACAACTTTTTAATTACAGAACTGTAATAAAAATAAAGTCTTTGTTGCTGCCATCCTGCAGTTGCAATTCCAAACTCATTTCCTCTGGGATTTTCCAGCTATTGTTGAGGAGCACTGGCACATGATTTATCTTCTTCTTTCGTAAAAAAAAAAAAAAAAGTTGCAAAACTATTTTGCCAGTTGGAGAATAAAACAGTATTGACAGATTGTATTTATTATTCCTTACAGCAAGACTTCAATCTGATTTTTCTCACACAGCAGTCTCACATAACCCCAAACCATCTTTCTTCCCTTCCCCACGTCACACGAAACACAGCAGAATCTGATTTTGTCATCAGTCTCCACATCCCAGCGCAGAAGCATCCAAACAGTACTCTCCCAATTCTAGGTAAACTTTTCATGTTCTTGTGTGTGTGTATACATACACAAATCCAAGAGTTTACCTTTTTCAGATATTTAGAAACAGTTATCAACAGTTAAATCTGGTATTTAAATTTGACATTTCCCAAAGTTCTACGCGCAGAGTTTTCACTGGAGGCTGTAGGTCTGCTGCGTGTCCTTCACTGAAAGGGTTATGAAGAGGGACCGTGGATCCTTTCTGTTTTTGCGGACTGTTATCTTTCCTCTCAGGGCCTCTCCTGCAAAAGTAAAAAGGAAATTACTATGCTTAAATTATTGAATCATGCACAGTAGCAGCAAAGAGGTATTACATACCCTTATGTTGGATGACAAGGTATTCCAAATTAATCAGAATTAACCAAATCTATCAAGGTTTCCTTTATATTTTCAAAGCTCTATGCAATGGCCTCGATAGTAAACATAGGTCAAACTGGCTGCAGTTACACCTGGTGAGGTGCTGAGTTATGTCTGATGCTTTACTTCTCAGATGACCCACCCAAAGGGCTGCTATGCCAATTATTTTACTTGTAATTAGGGAAAAACCCACTGTATTCCTTGGATACACTAACCTCTCTTTGTATCTGGTTGAGTTGGATCTGCACGTCAGTATCCAGCATTTCCACGGACACACAACTCTCAGCTGGACAGGTACTAAGTGTCGTGCATAAAGAAAAAAGCCTCCATCCCTGAGCTTCAAATATCAGCTTGGTTTCTCATGAAATTATGTATAAGATCTTTAAATTCCTGAACATAGATTTCCATCTATGAAGTGAGCAAATTATTAGCAGTAATAAAACAGTATAAAAAAGCAAACTTGCTAGTCCACAAGATTTAATATTGCATTATTCCTTTGCTGTGCTCCCTAATTTAAACACACCACCACTACCAACTTTGAGTGAAACCAAGTAACCACAACAACCCATTCCACTTCCCACTGCATATGCCATATGGTTTGTATTTGCACTACCTTTGATTTAAGCTCTAATTCAGTAAAGTTTTTATCTGGGAGGAAACATTAACACAGAAATCTTCACAGCACTTCAAGTATATACATTATTAACAGCAAGTTTTGTTGCTCTGTTGACCACAACACTCATCATGTATGTGCTTCAGCTAAAACCAGAGAGAAAGCTTTGATGCAGAAGGAAAGAGCTGAGAGACATCTAGAGAGGCACAATTCTCACTTTTGGTGTGACTAAATTTATGTAAAAGCTTTTGTCCTAGAGAAATTTCAGGCCTTGATGTTTCTGTTGAACACTTTGTCCTAGCCTGCACCGATCAAGCCTGGTGCCACCCCAACCAGCAGCTACAGTTCCAAGGCACATCAAGTTCTTCCACATTTCTTCTTTACATAATTCAAAGGTCTGTTCTAGCTTTTAAAAGCACTTTCAGATTCTGAAATAAATGAGGAGAAAAATTAAACCTGCTGTGCCGACATAGGAAAATTGGGTATACTCTCTAAGGAGATATGCTTTACCTTTCACACACAAGATAGGAGATTATTTGTGGATCTTTAAGTCCAACTTCATGATCTAACAGTCCATTTTGCCTAATGCAAACATGCTCAATGGATAAGATGTGAAAAGCCTTTATAGCTATGCAACTTTCTGAAACTTTATACAGGACTAAACGAAGGAACAATGAACCCACTTCTCTATAGGCACAGCTTTTGTCATTCTGCACCTCCTCATTAGCAAAAAAGACCTTGACCTAAGAAATACATCATAACTTATCACTGTCAGAGAACTGTTTCTTCCCTGTGTTTTGGAATCATCTTCATGGTCTGACAGATACTTGACATTATCTTAGCCTGGCAGATCCATCACCCCACCACCTTACTTGTCATCAAGTGAAAAATACCACGTACCAGTCATGGAGAACTTACATGTGCCGGGCTGAATCTAGTCACGATGTCTACGCATAGGAGCAGAGATTGTTCCTATCCCCAAACCACCCCAATACTGCCACCAGGCAAGGCCACCAACAAGCAGGATGGCACTGCAGCTGGTTTCATTCCTTCCATGGTGCCAGGAGATGCAGCTGGGCCTGCAGGCCAGAGGAGCTGCTTGGGGTAACATGTCAGCAGGTATCGTTTTTATCAGAGGGATTCTGCATTCCTGAAGCAACTGCTGAACACATTTCCAGTGTAAAACCACCTTTTTGGAATAGACATGACAGAACTATACACAATATCTCCAATGAGGTCTTGCATGATTTTTTGTACAATATTAAAGTGCCTTTGCTTCTAGTAAAAACACCTCACCTTTCTCTCAGCTGCACGTCAGTAGCAGCTCCCTCTCACCCCCTGATGAAGCAATAGACCAACACCACCTCGCTTTCTAGGTTACTTCAAAATGAGAAGCCCCAGTTGTACAGAAAATTTCCCTGTAATCAGCTTCTAAGAGTTCTTAGGCCATTATAGTATTTAAAGTGGATGATTACTCTAATCCACAAGGTCATATAATTCTTCCTGGAGGAGAACTCAGGGTGAAAGTCTTCACAAAACTCCCCTAAGTCATCATTAAGATATTAATTGTCAAGATTAACAAGGCATTTCTGGTATTTTGAATGGCGACCTACTATGCTATCTACTAGCTTTCACACCATGCTCTCAGTACTACCCTCTAATCAAGTAACACCCTGCAACAGACCTAGATCCATCCTCACTCATTCAGTGCAAAGGCTCCTCCTCAATTTCAAAGACTTGAATGAGGCCCCTAGAGGCTGCGGCACAGTTAACATTGCTAAAAGAAGCACTCCGCATTTGGGTATAGAAGTATCAACATTCCCAGAAAGCAGTTTGAATTTAGAGATGACTTAGACCTACAAGGATCAATCATTTCAGAGACCTCAAATCAACTTTGCTCAATGATCATTTCAACCACCACAATGAAGAACTTTACCCAAAGACAAATGTCCACAGGGTAACAAATGTCAGAAATCAAGATGTCTGTAAAATCTTCTGGGAACCAGGCTGCTAAAACACGAGCGGCAGACACTGAGTACATGTGTTTTTCCAGCACAAGATGTAAAGAGATGTTATACAGGGCAGCCATAAGGACATCTCTGAACAAGGCAACATGCTTTCATGTTGTAAGTCCATGCCTCAAAGTTTAGGAGCACTCGAGCTTTCATAACAAATCACTCTGTACTTTTCGCTTTATGCGGAAGTTGCAGTAATGAGGAAGCCTACTGAGTGCAAAGTTTTCCTCCTACAGCATCATTTGTCGGCAGAGATTGCTTTTTAAGATCACTGTCATGCTGTCGATAGACAACAGAACTCTACTAGTCTTTTTCATTCCATGTGCAATTTACCACCAACAAAAAAATACTGCAGCTTTTCAAAAATCAATCTTTCCAATTCATGTGTACCACTATGCAGCAATACCCAAGTAAATTTCAAAGCAAAAATCTCTTCATAGGGAAGTTTATAAAACCTAAAGAATTGAATATTTATTAATCTCCATAAACATGGCTACTAACATATAAAAGCACAATAATGGATGCCTAATCAAAAGAGGTGTTGCAAAAACAAGAGAGAAAAGGGGCAGTTCCACTTGAAAGTTCCAGCAGACTGAGCAGTACTTCTAATCAAGTACTACTTGAAGTACTTCTCAGTACTTCAAGAAAAAAACACCAACTCCACACACACAACCCCTCACCCCCCCAACAGTTATAATAAGGTGATATAAAACTGATACATTCCGGCACTACACCTCCCACTACTAGATATATCTTCATGTTCATTGTACTAATTAACTCATTAACAACATCTTCAGATAAGGTATTGTTTTATCAGCATCTGACTTGCCGATAACAAAAACAGATAGAGAGGAGATCTGTAAACATGTCCAAGACACTGATGCTACAAATGGGAGTAATTTCTCTAGCGATACAATAATATTATGAATTATGGACATTACAGAGGACAAAGTTTTAACCTTGTGGCAACCCATTTAAGTCACTGTAGGATACAACGATTAAGTTTTCACAAAAGAAACACCTGTTGTACTACAGCAGGTGGTGCTGTCCCAACCCTTTGTTAGTTTTTCTACGAGTTTTTGTGCTTGAGAAAAATTACGTTATGTAGGGCAAACACCAACACATTGTTCCCCATTCACAATTGCTGGAGACTCAGAACACGAAGGCATTCTGCACTGGTATGGAGGACAAGAAGGAATCTAAACCAAAGCCCAGATCCATACAGGTATTTTCAACAATTGCAAGCCTCATTAAAAGCCTTCTCTAGCTCCAATTTCTGCGTTTCCCAAGACCTTGCTCTTTAGGTGATTGGTGCAACGTGAGGATGCAGAAAACATTGCCCTCTATAAACATGTCATTGTCATAAATTCCTCTGGGTTTCTGTCCTTTTCACCCCACAAGCTTCTGGACCGCTATTCCCTGTACTACGATATCTAACTGTGCAATTCAAACCAAGACAACACATGAAACAGTAAGGTCCTAACGTTACAGTTTATGTCATCATCACCAAAATCCAGAGTTTACTAATCGTGGCTCTACTTATTTTTTAAACAGTCATCCACAAAACAATACCTGCACTTCCAAACAATACCCTTTTGTTTCCACGTGCCTGCCCTGCTCTCCAGACACGCAGAAGCAGACTGGCCGTGCCTACGCCAAACCCAGAGAGATTCTCCACAGAACAAAACTACCAGTTCACTTCCACCCACCCAGGAGGATCTTAATTTTGTTCTCAGGCATTTATTCTCTTCCCATATGTTGCTATAAGACATTGGCTTCCAATCCAACACAGGTTTTATCAGCACATTGCCTCTACGGAGTATATTAAACCACTCCTAGGTACTTGCAATTAAGAATGGCATTTCATGACCTCAAGGAGAGCAATATAATGAAAACAATCATGCAGATACTACAGCAGCAGCAGCACAGAGGTCCCTGGAATACCCCAGGGCATTAGGGCTTACCAGTGTCCCCCACCAGCGCAGGGCTCTCTGCCACGTTTCCTGCAACTGAAGAAAGCCCCTCACAACCCCGTGAGCACATCAGTCATTCCTCACAACCTGCTTAGAGCCTGGATTTGCTTGTCCCCTCCACGCTTCAGTTTCCTGTTCAACTCCACTGAGTCTATTAATGCAGCTAAAATGCTTATACCCCACCTTGGGCCCTCTTTCTGGATCCTTTTGCTGAATGAAAGATGTATTAGCACCTACATTCAACTTAAAATCCTGACCTGCGCTAAATATAGACCTTCCATCGCTTGAAGGTCAGAAAGAGAAAAAAAAAAACCAACACCCAAGCTGAACTTAGTTTCTGGGAGGAGTTATTATATTTGTGCCATTTTCATCCAGACTCCAAGGAGGAATAAACACGGTCTCTCACAACATAAAACAAAAACATCACCTGAGAGAGAAAATCTGCTGAGATACAAAACAAACCCCAGGGAGATACATCCCAGCGGCCTCAGCGCCACAGATGAGCGAGTAGAGCTGTCAAGAGCGAGAGAATTGCTGAAATGGGCTGCATCTATCACCACGTCAGCTATGTCTTGCTGGTGGATCACTCCCTTTCAGGACAGATTAAAATGTAAGAACTAACTCAGAGGTTGATGACTTGAGTTCATGCTGTAGTTGGTAACATTTTCATTACTATATTCTGTTACCGACAGTAATTAGAGTAACCTCAGTAGCGCTTTCATCAATGCAAGCGTGCATTGCCCTGTATGACTGCATCCTTTTTGATTTTAATTTGTGTGCTTTAAATTGCATGCTTTATCTCACACAGAATCTTACTCGGTAACACTCCTAAACCGTGCTGTAAAGATCTAGCAGAGGAATTGTTTCATCCACAGCTGAGATAGAGATCTCTGGAGCTCATCAACACTGAACAGCAACTGGAATTTCCCCGAGACACTCGGGGATCACATTTCCATGATTCTAGATGCTCTCTGTATTGCACCTTCAATGTTTATGTTTCACATCAAAGATGGGACAATCAACAGCACAGTGTGACCCCGTGACAACACAGAAGAGGACAAACTGCTACACACCAGATCCCATCGGTATCAGCTGGAGTTCTGCCCAGAAGCTTGGGGTTGCTCACTATCACAATTCATTTCATTTCTTAAAGGTCAGATATCCGAGTCCTTTTTTCCACCTTCCTTAGCTTCCACCCCTGTTATTTTTTTTAATATGGCATAATGTAGACAACATAGTTTCTTCTTGCTCTTGGTTTTCCCAGAGTGTAAGATTTAGAAGTTTTGCTTCTTAAATACATACATTTTAATTAAAAGAAAAAGTGTAAAATACCAGACTTCCAGACATAATGAAACCTAATACACTGTTCCAGATCAGAAATTCTAATTAAGTTTCAGTATCTCCTATCGCTAATAATCACCCAGTCAGCAAATACCACTGACGAATTCCTTCCTCCGCTTGCCTTTCTGCCCCCAAGGTATTGCTGCCCCAATACTTAATTGGAAATTAAACAGTTTCTTACAGCACAAGCTGGCCACACTTGTACTCTGATTTAAAGTTCACAATTAGAGATGCTTCTAATGGTGGAAAAGAAATAATCAGTGTAGGAGAAAAAAAAGTCTTTCTTGAAACATGTAAAATTGACATTCTGCAACCAACGTTTTGTGGCAAAGAACTCTGAAATG